AATACCAGACGCGTATATTAACAACGATACGACTAGAGTCGCGATCAATCATCTCAAGACGTCAGTAGAACCAACTCCTGAAACGTCGTTTACATTAAATATACCGCAGATAATGGACAGTGTTCAACTTAATTGCGTTGTAATGAATCAATCATTGTCACAAACCTTTAGAGAATCATTAATTATCTTGTTTTGTTTATGAAATTCGTAATTACATGTTAACGTCTTCATATGTAAGCAGCAATGTGCTGCAGAAACATTGGCATGCCGGAAACACTGTCGAGTTTATTGTATGTGTATCTGAAATCAAGAATTGCTTCTAAATGATCACCGAAAATTAATGTTACTATAAAGAATTGTCCCATAAATTGAGTATCCTGAAGTCTCGACTTCGTATATTCTAATGTCACTACAGTTACTTTCTAAAGCTGCAAGTACTGAGTTACTGCGGGTTCGAACATGTTTCGATACATTAATGTTTTTTCATCTTTTCTTTCTGTCTGTTCTTTTGACCACAGAAACATTATTATTGGCTGATCGCCAATGTATGTAGTCCTAGAAACTGTTAAGAAGAACCACTGTTATATAATTATTCCTAATTCTGAGTCTGAACGTGCCGAGGTGTTTAATCCGTTATGGAACAAAACACCCGAAAGTTTTTAATGCGTTCGCTGTTTATACTAATCTTTCTTCTTCCGGCATTGGTTTAATCCTTCGCGTCTCCTTTGCAATTTCTCGTCCTTCCACAAGGCCAATAAATGTTGATTGCTTTTTTGGTAATTTGCCGTTGGGATTCATTGTTTTTTTTATATTACCATTGGATACTCACTGTATAAAAAGTACCGTTGGTCATTCACTGTATGTAGTAAGCTACGTTTTCCTAAAATATTCACTCCCAAACATAGTCATATCAATTAATCTTCAAACGACTTAAACTGTGTGCTGTATTTATCGACCGCTCTCTCTTTATTTGTTGTTTTTATCTAAATCCGTGAATTTTTAAATTGATTATGGATCTATTTTTAGTTTGAAAGCCTCTGTTCTATGTTATCTATGGCTCTTTTCATCACTGGGTCAAAGTGTAAACATGAAAATGTACAAAAGCTTTGCTTTCGCTCACCATTTACGGATTGCATACTAGAGCTGTGTTTTGTGCCCATTATAATATAACTATCATTTGTAAACCTTCCATTACCACCAAGGTCGATACTACGTAATTTGAGAGTTAAGTACAAAAGTGGTTTAGCCCCATTCTCAAAATGTGTTGGAAAGAGTAAAGAAACGTTTTTTAAATGTATATTTACTGCGTACACTGTCACTGTAATGGGCTGTATACGAATAATTGTTTAACCGAAACGTCGGATATGGTTTGCTGAATTAAATGGTGACAGAAATTCGGAAGTATAGTCTCTAATTTTTAGATATACGTCCTTTCTGCTCTAAACTCTTCAGTTGCAACAAAGAGTAATATGTATTTAGTAATGTCAACAGTAGATCAATAAACGGGAATTAATTAAAATCTGAGTTTGGTTACTGATGCATTTTAATCGGATTTTGAATCCTGCGAAGGAATTACAAGCGTAAAGGTTTGGATCCCGTATCGAGGATATCCGTTTGTGTGCCAGTTTTAATTACTCTAGGACACTTCAGCAATAATCTTTTATAAGTAGGCACACGTACAGACACATCTTATTTGAATTACATCGGAATAATATTGTCTGCCCAAAAATATGTGTAAAAAATTTAAACACCGAATCTGTGAGTGTCAGAGTAGACATATACAAAGTAAGAAGCGACGTAGCAAGTACATGGCTGTATTCTGGGTTGTAGCGCCGTGTAGTCTGGTAGTAGTTTTTGCTGTCTCCATTGTCAGAGAAACCAAATTCCTACTTAGTAGGAAAATTCAGAAGCTTCTCTCATCGCCCTCCCGAAACGTCGGTGAACTTCTACCGTTTTACACTATGCAACGCTCCAGAAGTCAATAATCCTCGTTAATGGTATTAAATAAGTAGGTATGAAGGTCTTAACTGAGTTCAAGTGATTCAAGATAAGGTCCCGTTTTATTTAGTTGCATACTTATTGATGTTAATGATTTGGAACAGTCAAAACTGTCTCGCATCAGTCCATTCGAAATATTTTCTGGTGTATGAAACCTTCCCCGAATATGAAAGGTGTAGGAGGCTAGGCAGTTTGCCTGTAGGCACGGTGTGTCGGTCGCCATTTGCTTTAGTCATTGTCTTTCCTTCTAAGCACGAGACGGATCATCACTGAGCCACGTTCGCTTGAAAATGCCATCTGACGTGAAGAGAGAGGATTTATTCCGTCAAGGGAGCTTAGTGTTAGTGAAACATTTCTTTGCGGCGGTGTAGAATGATATTTCACGCAACAAAAGGCTTTTTTTTGCCTGAAAAGACTGCACCCTTATGGCTGGCATTTCTACGTCGATATATCTGTATTACAGGTCTACTGTTAAAAAAAGGCAGTTCAATGGCGTTAGCTTGCTTTCACGGAGGCGGTATTTAAATGAGGTAGGATAGGGCACAAGATATTTTTACTTTTAAAATTAACAGCCCCTTAACGATAAGAAGTAGTGTTTTTAAACGCACAGTCTTCGTTTAAAGGATATTCTCCCACTAAATAAAGAAAAACTGATGATCCCTATAATAAATGCTGATTTTATCCAGTCAGCAGTAGTAGAGTGTCGATTTCTAAGAAGTTGGTCTGCGCTTAATATTTCAATGAGATAAGAGCTCACGAGCTGTAGCGGATTTGAGCACTTGATTTATTGATAGTAATTAAGCTGATCTTGAGTAATAGGATCTTAGAACATTTGAATCTATGAGGAAATAACAGGGGGTTACAGAAACTTGTATAATGAAAAACTTAATAATTTGTAATCTTCACGAAATATTATTTAAAGTGATTAATGTAGCACGCATGGGAGTTTTGAGAAATAACAAATAATTATATTTTGAAGACCTGAAGGGAAGAAACCATATGGAAAACATCGAAGTAGATGGGTGGATAATATTAAATTGATATTAAAGAAGTAAGGTTAATGGCATATGGAATTATTTCATGTGACTGATGAGAATATGTAGACAGGATTGATCTGGCGGGTCCTTGTGAATCTTTGTTTTTCACAAAATGCAGGAGTTTCGTAACTGTGGTATCCGAACGACTGTTAACTTTTGAAGGACTCGGTTCCGTCAGATATTTAATTCTAAGTATCCAAATGTACACGAGTAGGACTAGGTATCCGATAAGGTAAACTGACTCCATGATAGGACGTTGAACCTGAGTTGTCTTTATAAACCAGGCAAGTCCAACAGCCATCAAGTTTCAACCAATCTTCGGTGAGTTCCGTTGCATCAGTGCCTTTCTTCGTGACTTTAGAAAACAGCGCCGGATTGTCTCTTTTCATTCTCTGTTGTTTTCTTCGCTGCTAGCGCATTTTAATGCTGTGTTCCGCACTTCCGGAGCACTGTTCTGAAACCTATTTTTACCCGCACCACACCTTAATTTGACAAAGACATTACGGCACACCACAAAATTTTACATCACGGAAACTCTACATGGCCATACGTATGTATCAAATTTTAATCATCACCCTTTCAGGGTGCAGATGTATGAAAAAAGGAATACCATTTCTGGCCTTTGATAGTCATGGGCGGTTTCAGTCGTCACTTACCGGTCTTTTTGCCATAGGCTAGTTCCTCATGCACAGTAATCACGGCTATCCCGAAGTTTAGGTGGCAGTTATTTTGTTACAACTGTACCATATGAAACCTAGGTCATGAACGGAGGTGTCCAAGGCCATACATAATACTGCTGAGGGAACAAGGACACAGAAAACACAGTTACGGATGCAACATGAATGGACAAATTTTGTGACATCGTAACGTATGGATTATACCATCACGACATCTTGAGAAAATAAATGGAATTTTTCTCAGATTTGTGAACAATGAAATAAGACACTTAAAAGTAACGGTGTGTGTCTTACGGTGCATTTCCGCATCCTTCTTGGCCATGGACGTGTTCAGAGAATTTGAACTCCAGTCTCTTACGTTTCGCTGTAGTGCGTTACACTGGGATCCCGCTATAACGCGAAGCTTCACTTAACACGGAACCATACTTCGCCCTTGGCTTCTCCTCTGACTTACAACTATTGAAAACACTCTAGAACACAGCTTGACGAGGTAAATTCAGTTTACAGCGACATAACAGTACCCAATTTTATTTTGTTTCTTGAATTTAGTTGAAAACTTTTGTTTTTGACAGTATGAATTATTGACAAGGAATTCTTACACACATTTGTAGTCACTCCATCTTCTTGTATTTGTTAGTGTTATGAATTAGAAGTTACTAATCTATGGGTTAAACAATTGCAGAGACGCCTTCAAATCGGTTCCGGTACCCAGCCGTACTCTTGTCCAATGCATTGCTGTTACTGTTGCGATGAGGTGAAACGGTGATCCTGTGTCGTCATTGTAGCCCATTCTGAACCATGGCCTCTCTGGAGACATTTTCTACCGCATTTTCGAGCATATTTTCCGACACATGGTAGCCTTTCTGGACCCGGTGTGAGATCGTTTCAAGGTGTCTACTTGTTCAGGCCACTACATCAAAGAAAGACGCGGTAAAATATCCATGCCTCAAGTGAGATTCGATCCCACGATCCCAATGTTCGACTGGCCAAGACCAGTAATCGAAACTTTGCATGATCACCAGTAGACGGCTTGGCGAATATTAACATCAGCTTCCAAGACTGCGAATATGTAATGTTTGTTTGTTTTTATATGTCCTGAAGACCCTGGAGATTTTGAAGCGGCATGGAAGGTGTGTAATGGCATTCTTATTGAAATAAGAATGTTGAACCCTGGAATGTGATAAATGTTTTTAAGCGGTATAGTAATCCAAGACACTCGTTAGTATTCGTAACTTTCCGTGAGCTCTCGGGTGACCGCTGATGTTGATGACGAAAGCACGGCTCGCTACGTAGGCAACAAGTTGTTGGCCATGTTTTAAAACAGTTGAAAGCGGTGCTGATAAAGAGTGATGCTAACTGTAAAGTAACTCCTTGATTATTCAATTGGTTGGAATCGTGTCCTCTTTTTTGTGGAAGTGAAGTGGTTACGCGTTTAAGTGATTTGTAGAGTTTTAAGTGATGTAAGTTTAATTTAGAGGGAAGAGTTGTTTGTGATCTTGTAAGCATGTAGGCATGCTGGAGTCTTGTACGAGGAAAGGTGGGTTATGTCGCCCTTGAGGTGCAGTGCAGCAGTGTTGTGTGGTGTTGTCATAACATTTATCGCAACAAATATATTTAAACTAGGTTTCCGTTTTGCAGACCTCACATGAAAGCTTTGTGTACACATCTACTATTTGCTGTTGAGTATGCATCTTTTTAGTGATAGTGGCCTACTTTTCTTTTACATTCCGTTTTTAATCGCCCTACCGTACGGCAAAGGAAGTGGTAGCAGAAATATCAGTATAAAAAATTTTCTGTGTGTAATTACCGTGTTTGACAGGAATGTGCCGTACTGATTTAACAGTTTTTGTTTTATATTGGATGTTTTAGTTGCCTACGGTTCTGCAAGGAAAGAGATAGTATAAATATTCCGATAAACAATTTTCTGCGTGTAGTTACCGTGTTTGACAGGGATGTGCCGTACTGAGTTGCTAGTTCTTGTTTTATATTGGGTTTTTATTTACTCTACTCTTGTGCATAGAAAGGGGTAGTAGAAATATTCATATGAACAATTTTATGTGTGTAGTTACCGTGCTTGACAGGAATGTACCGTACTAAAGTACTGCACTCACTTCAAGGACCCAACCGTCCCAAATATAGCCATGTTCCAAGGTCAACGACCTGTTCCATGCGAACAAATCCATCGACGTGTTCAAAAGAATTTCTATTTTGAGTTGGCTGCTGTTTTTAAAACAGTAAAAATACTTTTTTGAACAAGGTCACAGATAAACTATGCTGTCGGTTCCTCCAGCAGCAGAACTTTCCGTGCTTATTTTTTTCGTGTTCTACATATCAAGATTAACCTCGGTCTCATCCTCTAAATACAGTCTTGGGAAATTCCTTTCTTTCTGTGCTGTCACAGTGTTCATGCAGTGCAATTTCAGAGTTGTCAGTTAACCCACAGATTTCAAATTGATACGAAGTGTAAGTCAAATTTGCCATATTAGCAACAATTTTTGTAAACAAGATGGTGGCAAAGAAACAGCCTACCTGTTTATCGTGCAGGCATGCTTGTTTGTGTACAATGTGGCGTCCTAAAAGGTTACAATCATGTATTAAGAGGGAAGAAAATGGAAATAATAAAGTAAAACTACGTGTGGTGTGAGATACGTGGCTTCAAGAAGTGTATTTTAATTCATACATAACATAGGCATGCATATAAAGTTGACCCACCGAATTAGCTTTTACATTGGAATCTTAATTTGATTTCGTCAGTAATGTTCAAATAATAAATCTTTTGTATGTATCTTATATGTGCTAATAATTTATAATAATAAAGTAGCTTTTATTACATCTGAGAAATTCAAATGTTATACCAGCAGGATAACAGTTGCTTCGAAAAATCACAAAAACCTGATTCACTGTCGATTTACAAACCAATCATGTTACTGCCGTATTGCTTCTTTGTTCATCATGAACCTTATTTTATACTTATATTTTGTCAGACACGAAAAACCTTTTTAAATGTCGCCATTACACGTCATTGACCCCGCCTGAGGAATTCATAATCAAGTCCCCCCCGTCGCCCCACCCCTCAGACTTGACACCGCATTGCAATCCACAGGCAGATAATGTTATCATGTTCTGACTCTTTGCTGATCTAAGCTTTTAGCCTCATTGGTGTCTGCTTCTTTGTTCTCACTTGCATCTCATGTACTGATTATTGTTGCTACTTCTGTGAGTTTCGTATTTGATCATTTTGTTACATTTGGGCCAAACAAACGTTTGAGGGTTTATTGCCAGAGATTATATACAGTTTGGCCAAACAAACGTTTGAGGGTTTATTGCGAGAGATTATGTACAACTTTTAATCGGAAAGGATATAAAAGATGTGACCAGCTCACTCAGTCATAAGTAGCCTCTTGACACAATTGTTCTCGTCAGAATTCGATTGAATCTCGCGTTATCTTCTAGTTCCACTCTGCTGAAGCCAGTAAGTACAGAGTGGCGCATTGAATGAAGTACTCGTGCACAGTGACACATTAAGTACCCAAGAAGTAAAAATGTAACATAAGACACTTTCAAATATAGTCTATTAATTTCATTTCATTTCATTTGCACCTACAAATCTTGGGAGGGGGTGGGGTGGTTCATAGATTGCTTCACCCCGGGCCCCGTTATTCTCTAAAGACGTGTCTCTCCCCAGGACAACCTGCCGAAGTGAGTCAGAAGTTTACCTCTCTCTTTTGTCAAGTTTTGAGTCAAAGAATACCTGCAACTTTTTTTTTCCCACATTCCCTCTCACACGTCTTGCTATTGTGGCATCTAACGTGAGATCGTAGTAAAGCATTTATACACGGCGTATCAGTAATGAGCTTTGTGACTGCTTGTGTTATTTGTTTCGTTCGTTTCATTTAGTGGGATATGTTATATTGCCCATCCTAGCACGTGGCACTTCTTATCTTGCCTGCGGCAGGCACATCAGCCAGTGAAAGTAGGTTCAGTTAGTTTCTGTGTTCTACGTGGAACGAGGCGCTGTCAGCTACACCTACAGCCATTTTCTCTGCGTGCAGTTTCACCAAAATTAATTTCGCGTACGTCAGCTTGCCAACTATAGTTTCATCCACGAGACATTTCACTTATATTTCGTTCGGTAACTGCGTTTTAGCGTACTCCAACCCACACGTGTATTGGTTTTAATCGGCACGATGGAAAATACAGGCAAGAGTACAGTTTCGCCCCGACGATGAGAGATTCCTCGTGATAGTACAACAGACAGTATAAGGATTTCATTGGGATGTTGGAAATACTTGTTAGAACTCTTAACATACTGCTGATTACCAACTCGCCTCTACTAGCTCGCAAAAAACGCCTGGCTATCCGGAGCTGATTAACGACGCTGGGAAATATCAGAACAGATCGCGTATGGACTACCACTAAAGTGAGACAGAAGGCATTTTATTTGTAGTTTTTCAAAGTGTTAGCCGGGCTAACACGGTTAACAGGAACTGCACACGCAAATGTTAAAGGAGATATAACAACTGTTCTTGTTGCCTCTGAAATTTACGTACGTTAACTGACCGATGCTTGTTTAACTCTGTAAGCTCTGTCATGACATTTTTAACTTCGTGTCTTTAACCATACGAACATGGCAGCAATAAAATAATTAGGTTTTCGTAATTGGGAAGGAATTCTTCGAACTGTTTTGGTCACTTGGTGATAACTAAAGAACTGTAATCCTTCAGAACTCCCAGATGCATTTCATCAACGTCTAACGCTTATAATATCTTCATTTAGAGGCTGTGTTCAAAATATAATTTATGATGAAAGTGGCTGGCTGTCTTCTAAGTAATTGCGCTATGTCATCGCCCTGGTGATGAAGGCAAGCACCTCTGAAACGTCGGTAAACTTCTAGCACTCTGCACGACGCAACAACTCAGGCACCAGCAGTCTTAATGGTCGCTACCGTGAGAACCTCAAATCTCACTTTTAGTTTTTATTTAGAAATTTAAATGTATTGTTGTTGAGACGTGGTTATATTTGTGAATGGATGTTATGACAGCGCTTTGTTGTGATGCAGAGGCTTCATATTTGTAGGTTGTTTGTTTACATCGTAACCATGGAAATCATCAGTGTTGACAGTGCGTGTGATATGCGTCGTGTGGATAGCTGATAGAAAGTATGAAGAAGCAGACTCAGTGTCCGACAGTTGATGTTCGATTGCAACAGATCGGTAGGAGTGCTTGTACATTCTTAAAGTGACTGACTTTGTTTCATATTAGAAGACAAGCGTTTTTTGAAATAAAGTGGTGATAAAATGACTAGTCGACGAAAGCGACGGCAACAAGATGGTTTCATGAAGAAAGTGTCGTCACTTTTCAATCTGGATACGGTGAGTAAAACTTGTTTTGCAGTGGTTTTAGAACTAATCGAAGTTGTAACAGTCTATCTAGGATGTCACAGGCGACTTCCGAGGTATCCAGTCACATCAGAACCCTGAAGATGGGGACAGAGTTGGTTCCCGAAACGTCGGTTAACTACGGTAATCAGTTAACGCGGCTGATTGCCCGAGAAGATTTTATTAATATTATTTAGGAATTAATTTCGCGAGGTGTAATAAATGTCACATAATACATTGGCCACCACTTATTACAGAAATGAGCAAATAATATAAATGTTGGATCTATTAAAAAGGATAAATTCTCGTGGACACGTGTACTGAAAGGGGCATGATCCTATCTTATAGATGAAATTGTTGTCTAAGATTAGACGATTGTGTTATGGATAGACAGGGTTTTATGACGGCGTTATGAATTTGTGTTTCGCGACCAAAATTAAATCCCCAGTATCCTCCATTTCTCGGAGACAGAAGTACAGACTCGCCTTGCCCCATCATCGCTCCAGTTCAGTACCTGCTTTCGACAAGGGTCAGGTGCGTTTCTCTGTCTCTCCTCAGTCGCTGCTGTGTTGGTGAAGAACCCGCTTCAGCAGGTCTTCGTGTTTCTGTGGGGACGCAGGTGGATTGGCCTGTTTTTATGCATTTCAAATGCTACTCGAAAATTCCCTCCCAACATCCGCTAGCTTGTCTTAAATTACCACATGGGACGTTACCCAGCCAAGCGGAGTTTCCATCGCCAAATACACCCTCTCTGATGGCTGCGAGCTTGTAATATTATTTGCTGCAGAAATAACCGTATGTTAGATCGCATGAGTAGTTTCGTTGAGGTTGTAAACAGGAATATGGTTTTATAGCAGTCTCACAAGAGAGGTTTGTCGATGCTTGTGCGTAATGTAAGCTCGGCTTTAAAAACACTAGTAGCTTTTACGTACATTGTATCTACCTAAAAGTCAACACGGTGTTACAACCTCGAAGATCACAGCTCCTTCCGCTATGGGATCTTGTCTTGCAGGTGTTTTACTTCCGTTTTCATTGTGATACTCTTTTGTAGGCTGAATTTCAAACTAAGACATGCGGACGTTGTTGATTAGCCAGGTGTTTTACTTCCGTTTTCATTGTGTTACTCTTTTGTAGGCTGAATTTCAAAGGAAGACATGCGGACGTTGTTGATTAGTGTTTGGTATATAGCAACGTGCGTTATATCCTACACTGTAGCATCTCTTACGGTGCCAAGTTCAATAAACTCTGCCTACGACCTTATGGGACTACACCAGAATTTAGATAATTGCCTGGTGTCGTTAAAGGGCTACGTATAACGTGGTTTAACTTTTGTGGGTTGTGTTACAGGATTATAGTGCTTTATTACAACAACATGTCATCAAAGCTGTCCAGTCTCTTAATTAATTCGAAGAGAGCGAAGGTTTTCACCATGCATTAGGCATATTGAGGTCTATAATATTTCTGGTAGTGGGAATGCATGCCTGTCTCTTTTTTTATTTTTTATTCATTACATTCAATCTCATTGGTTCTCTGCACTGTCGCCAGGAAGCATTCGTGACCCCATGCTCCGACATACGAAGAATCTTGGACAGTCACACAAATCCAGCGAGGGTTTCTTAAGCGCATATGTTATATTACTTTATTATCACGTCTTATTATGGTACGTTAAGTTCCTCATAAAAGTTCGCTTCTTATGTTGACAGTCAGTGATCCTCTTGTGGAGGAAAGCACAGAATATTTTAAAAGCTTCGGACTTAAAACTACGTAGTTGTACGCTAATTGGAGTCTGCCTTTCAAGGTCAGACTAAGTTGCTATGCAAATATTCCTGTACTCGTTCATACTAGTTTACCCCTGTAGATATTTGCCGATGAAACAAGAGTTCGTAGTTCGTCTGCAGTGTATGTTTCTTGTAGCCACAGATTTTCCAGCTTTTAGTGCCTATCAGTAGCCCCTGGGAAGGACAATTTCAGTACGTCAATAAACAATGGTAGAAGTATTCGTATGTATTCCGTAAATTGGTAAAACGACGCACAAGAATTCGCCCAAAAGTCAATTCCTTGTCTTATAAAAGGAGATGGATAGAGTAAGTACTTGTATAGGGTATGTCCATTTGTTTTCGTAAACAAATTTTCATTCTCCTTATTGAATAGGAAGGTTGTAAGCGCACAATAGGAACTTCTTTTTGTCTGACCTTATTCCTCTTTTCGCCGCGACCCCCCTTCCTCTGACTTGTGTACTCGAGCAACTTTTAATGCACCTGTTTCGCCATGTTTGTCTGTCCGCATGCAACATTTCTAGATCCGCCTAACGGGTTTTTATAAAATTTTGTATGCCCAAAACAATTTTCCCGTAAATCCTACGGTTTTTGAAATAATCAAAATAAGATTTTCCTGTGTCATCTCATAACCGGATAGCCGTTGGACTGATCTCAATCAAATTTAAAATCGGAAATCCTGTCTTCTGATTGGTACTGCATCGTACGGATTCAGTTATTTTTCTTTCTTCAGAAATATTATTGTTCTGTGAATGAGTTGGGGCTTGCAGTGGTGTATTACAATATTGTTACTTATAACCTTGCGGACCGTGGGTCGATAACGAGGCGTGAACGAGGCCCCAAGATGTGTAAGTATTCATCCAGTAAAATTTATTCGAATGCCCGTTTTATCTATGAATATGGCGAGAATCCGAATTACATACGAAACGAGTTTTTATATTTTTATACCTTTTCAATGTCGTACGTCGTTCAGATGCAAAATAAGGTCGCCTCGGAAGAAACAGAAGTAGCTTCATTAGGGCTGACTTGAAAACGGAACTAAAGTTTGATTACTTCAGAATTAAGTTCCAAGCTCAGCTGCATGAAACGTTGGAATATCTGGAAGTAAAATATATTAAACATGACAGGTTCCTTTTGAATCTTTCTGCACACAGTTTTAATGAAAAAGTTAACCTAGTTTATGTAGCAGCTTTATAAAAGACGAAGTGAAAGTTCAGCTGTTTACCCAAGAGGAAATTTCTTGTAGCAGTTAACACTGTTTGCACTTCCAAACGTAGAAAGCCGTAAATCATCCTTTTGTTTATAGAAATTATATCCGCTTATTTGCATGTCACGCGTGTTAACGTTGAAAAATGTCGCTGTTGTGTTGTCACGTTTCTAATTCTATCTCAGAAGACATGACAAGAAAGCATGATTATTTATGAGTTTTAAATAGTGTTCTTTAAAATTCCGAAGGTTTTATTCAGACCAAGAATTGATATACTCATTACACTAGAATTCAGGTTTCATGAAGCTAGGAGACACCATCATGCCGGTACGTGTTAAAAGTTTCCCGTAGGGGAACAGTCAATAAACCGAGTGGCGTTGAGTGTACAGCCGTAATTCAGTTCCCTGAAGTCAGGGCCGTTACGATGTATGAAATAGGACCTACTTCCTGCACAGCGACACCTTAAACGCCCAAGAAGTAAAAATGAAACACAAATCATATTAGAGTATAGCCTGTTAATTTTAATATAATCCCAAAATAGAGATAAGTATATAGTCTTTAATAAATGTCACCTTGGCCCCCAGTAATATCAAAACGAACAGGCTACCGGCTTTTTATTTCTTTCTTTCGTTTGCACATAGAAATCTTAAGTGACACCGCGTAGACAGCTTCGCCCAGGCCCCGAACCCCTCTGGGGAAGTTTCTGCCCGAAGTACTGGGAATCTCTGTCCGTCGTCAAGTCCAGACCAGGTGCGGAGCCCGCTTTACTGTCTCCATCATCGGCCTGATGATGGAGGCAAGGACTGAAATGTTAGTAAACGTCTAACAGACTACACGGCGCTACAACCCAGAAGACAGCCATCTTTCGTACTGACCGCCGTGACAACCTCAACTCCTACGAAGTCGTGTCCCGGCCAGACATACGGAAATTCAAACGTTGGTTCGGACTGGGTTCTTCAAGAGGTCACCAGGACAGACTCACCCAGGCTTGAAAATAATGGACAGGCGTTTCGGATCTTTGAAACTGTTGTGCGTTGAATATGCTGGAGTCTGTCGTGGTCTTCTGGGTCGTAACGCCATGAGTGATGAAGGCGATAGGTTCCTCCGAAACGTTTACAAGAACGCACAGGATCATAGTGTGTTCCAGGGCGTCAGAAGACTTCAGTCGACACCTCTACCGGCGTGGAAACTTAAATCTCAGTGTATGGATGTTACCTCCAGTCTATTGCTACTGCTTAGGTCGTCTGCTCTTGCATTTCGCCTGGAAAAGTGGCAAACTTGCATGGACAGTTTCTGGTGTAGTAGTGAAACCGACTAATTGTTATAACTTGTGAACGGCTATTCGGACATTTACATGATCCAAGTCTCCAGTCTTCCGGACCCCGGGTAGGAATTAGACTAAAATTTAGGTTACAGTGTAATGTATTAGAAACGTTGGAGTAATAAAATCTTGTAATGCTACAGACTGGAGCCAGAATGTTTTGCAGTGAAACTTCAGTAATTAGTTTTGGAACTGCGCTGTGTGTTAAGCTGTAAATGGACAGGCTGATTTATAGACCGAACCTTCAGCACGTCCATCATAAAACGGTCGTCAGTGTGTTATAGGGACCGTGTAGCTTACGCATTGTGCGTTTTTGTGTGTCCGAATGGCTCGTCCGGCTTGGAATGAGTGAGAAAAATAGAAGCATGCAGTTGCAGGAAATCGAGGGTTAAATTCAGCGTTGCATGCTTTGTTGGTAGAACATTGTTATGGTCTAGTCTTGAGAATAGTTTCCGGACAAATCAGTGGTCTTTGCTTCAATCCCAGCCTGTTGAAGTAAATTTTACACGTATCCTTTGCTGCCGAGTTGTAGCCATCTTCATTAACATTACCCGTGCCTGGACGATATTATCAACTTTTCTGTAATTTGTAACTCTAAATTAATACACTTAAGAGAAATGTGAAATTCGAACATATTTTTCTCAAACATTGTGTGATGAAGCAGGAAATCCGATTAGATATACTATGAACATGTTTCTATCAAGACATCTCGTTTAATTTGTTATCCACATTTTAAAGATTTTGAAACCCCTCTCCCCTTTCGTCACTAGCACAAGCAATTGGCCCACTATTCCACTACTACATAGTAATTAAAATCATTAAAAAGCTGTCTTGTTTCTATGATTCTCAGAATGTGTTATCACCGATTTACACAACGAAAGCACGTGTGCGTTTTTCCTCTACTTGTGTGTATATGAATGTATACGCTCGCGCGTTTACATATCCGATTATTTCAATATTCCAGTGGAAATCCGTTATAATTTGTGGAAAATTTGGGTGGAAAGTACTTGCATGTTCATTACAGTTGACTGACTTTCACAAGTTTCAAGATTTAGTGTCTAGTTTCGTAGCGCATATTTTGTAACAAGCTTGCTGTTTGCCTTTTAATGTACTTGACAGCAATATAAAGTTTGTATTCAAACAACTAAGGAGTTTTAATCTCGCAAAGGAAGTACATGTAAGAAGACTGGTGTCACTTCTTGGAACTTATTATTTCGGGCACTCGTATATAACTTTACATATGCTTGGCATATAAAAGCCTGTATAGAGGCTACATAATGGTGGTCACTGCACATTCAAATTCGTAGGGTCCTGGGCTCGAATTTTAGCCAGAAGACTTATACCCCGAGTAAAGTTTTTAGTTTTTCTTCCTTGTGTTACCATCTGTCTTAACCACCTCGCAGTATGACGTAAGGTTGTGTACTATATTGGCAACTCTCTTCACTTGTGTTCGGGATGTACTGTTCGAATCTTGGTTGAGTTACTGGCTGTCGTGGAAGTTCTTCGTCAGTCTCGTCAAACGAGTGTCATAATCAGCGTCGTTTAATAACTTGGGGTAGCCTCATATCATCACGTCTTATGTCGTTGATGGCGTGTTGTTAAGTAAACCAGCAAACCAGCCCGTGAATTTGTGTTTGGACTCTCGTAAGGACCGGCGTGCAAGAAGGCTGGCTTGCTGTGCCTGTCCTTCGATGCAGGATTTGGAAAGAATCAATTTGGCATTCACGACATTCACATCACGTGCTTAAGCTGTTCTGCGATAAATAAAATGCTTCTGTGGACGTGCTTCGCCTGCGCTTGATACCTTGGAGAATGAGCAAGTTCCAGACAAGCGACCGAGGCAGGCGACAGAGTTACGAGACCGAGACTGGTCGCTTCCTGTCTGCTCTCTGTACAATCGTATGAAGTACAATTACGAGCGCGAGACAAAGACAGGCGACAGAGACAAAGCACAGGAGACCGCTCTCGGACCAGTAGTGTCTCCCGACGGGCTCAGGCAGCACGTCAGTGCGTAACCAAACTGCTTATGATTCAATCTGAAATAACTCCTCAAATTATCTTCTTCTAATGATAAATGATTCTTTATTAACAGACAGAAAGATCCTTCTTCACGTCTGGTTTTCAATATTGAACTCCTATGTTTTCTTTGTTTCATTCTCAACAAATCACACAGCAACACGTCATCTTCTTCTTATTCTTCGATTAACCTTTTTAGAAGCATTTTTGTACTCATTTTTCACAGAATATGTGCACGTATGTCTCAACAAAACAAAGAAAACAAACACTTTGCCGCATGTCTCGGTCGTCACCTCAAAAGTGTGTGGCGACAAGCTGCGATGTGTCCGTCTCCCGTCTCTGTCGCCTGCCTCGGTCGCTTGTCTCTGTCGCGTGCAGCCAAATTGTACCTTTAAGCTAGCCGGTCAGTACCATCTAGTGCGAACTCATCCCCCGTGTGTTTTCACAGTGTAGTGCCGGAGTACTTCGACTGTGCTGATTTTCCTTACTGCAGAGTGGTGCGCTCGGCACGGCCTGGTCAGTTCACGGCACGGCCAGGCAGCGTGACAACTGTTTCAAAAAAATTGACTGTGTCGTCAGTTGTGTTAAACTAAGGCTGCACCATGCACAGAATTTTGGACGAGCGTTGAAAAAAACTGTGGATGAATACTTGACAGTAAACATTATCGCGGAGCCGTAGTAAGGATAGGAATGGGACTGGAGATGTTTTGCTTTTATAAACATTTTAATTAATTAAAAAAAAATCAGATGCTCTGCCAGGAATGTCTGCAACATACATACAGTCAACATTTATTACCATTTAGACTACAATTTACGTCACCAGCCGCAGCTGCTTAGCAACAAAATTTGGTTACAGTGAAGACTGGGCGGGATCGGAGTTTGCAAAAGCCGGGGTATTGATTCATGGTCGTGTGACGGTTCAGAACAGTAAGTGAGATGTAACGTTGTAGAGAAACAAGAATGTCGTGGCTTTCGAATGGAATGCGCCACGTCCGGTTACCTGGAATTTCGAAAACCATGCCTGTAATTGTTTGCAATATTACAGGGTTTGGTTCACAAGTAATCCAGACAAAGCCAGGCTCTGTCGCAGGGCGGACTCTGAGTCATGTTGTAGCTATCTGCCAAATAATGCGTTTGTTATGAAACACTTGTTTGAAGTAAAATGATGTTTATAGTAGCTATCACCAAATTGCTTGCTTCAAGGTCACAGCATATTCGTCTGATGACGGAAGCAGTATGACCACTGAAACGTTGGTAAACATCGACCAGACTACACAGCGCAACGACCCAGAAGACAGAAATCTTCATACTCATCGCCCTGATGACGGAGGCAGTATGACTTCCGAAACGTTGGTTAACATCGACCAGACTACACAGCGCAACGACCCAGAAGACAGAAATCTTCATACTCATCGCCCTGATGACGGAGGCAGTATGACTTCCGAAACGTTGGTTAACATCGACCAGACTACACAGCGCAACGACCCAGAAGACAGAAATCTTCATACTCATCGCCCTGATGACGGAGGCAGTATGACTTCCGAAACGTTGGTTAACATCGACCAGACTACACAGCGCAACGACCCAGAAGACAGAAATCTTCATACTCATCGCCCTGATGACGGAGGCAGTATGACTTCCGAAACGTTGGTTAACATCGACCAGACTACACAGCGCAACGACCCAGAAGACAGAAATCTTCATACTCATCGCCCTGATGACGGAGGCAGTATGACTTCCGAAACGTTGGTTAACATCGACCAGACTACACAGCGCAACGACCCAGAAGACAGAAATCTTCATACTCATCGCCCTGATGACGGAGGCAGTATGACTTCCGAAACGTTGGTTAACATCGACCAGACTACACAGCGCAACGACCCAGAAGACAGAAATCTTCATACTCATCGCCCTGATGACGGAGGCAGTATGACTTCCGAAACGTTGGTTAACATCGACCAGACTACACAGCGCAACGACCCAGAAGACAGAAATCTTCATACTCACCGCTGTAAAAACCTCAAATCTTACAATGGATAGATCACTGTATTTTGGTTTGGAAATCTCACAGGAACCATTAATCACTGGGATAATTGGAAGATCATAATAACCCTTGTTAATAATGTTTAAGGAAATAATTGCTGTTTTTATGAGAATTATACGAAATTAATAAGTACAAAGTGCTGGGTTAATTGTTAAAGCAGGTGATACATACATCTGAGCATTAAAAGTGTTCAATGATTAATTTTAAAATTCCACATTCATGATAGTCACGTAGTCGACTCTGTTTTAAAGATTCCGATCGTAACTCCCACGATTTTTTTACGCTTGTAATAGGCTTCACGTTTTTATTGCGTCAGTGTTCGTGCATGTATTCGTCATGTAAAAAATACAGTCAGTGCATTTATTTTCAGTATGCGTTTAAATCGAAGTTCTCTCGTTTTCAAAGTAACAGCGTTTGTTACTTGGCCTTGTAGTAACCGGTTCAGAGTCATGAATGCTGAAACGCATCTGGAAATGGAATTGTAAGTTGAAGGGAAGATCAAAGTCATGGCCTTACGTGTGAAGTGTAGTAGATACGTTTACGAAGGTCGAGTCCGTTTTGTTTTGAAATTACTCTCGATTGTATTTCAGAAGCAAAAGTAGTTTTATTTTAAGATTAATTTTGGAATGTGCAGTTGAATATAAAGGAGCCCAATCGGCGAGTTTTAATCACAGTTTGATTCTGGGCGTTGGCAATTTCTGTACATTACCACGATCAGAACGGCTTTGGAGTCTACTGATACATAACCAGGTGGGACCAGAGGCCTATTACAAAGGGATGTCTAAACCATGGTCCTTACCAAAAGGATAATTTAGCTTAGAAATGATTTAGTGGCATTTTATTTGGTGTGTGCCTACAAACTGGATTCAACACAATTTTGAGACAAGGAAGCTTAACTTGCTTAGAATTCTCTTTCCTGGTAGATCATTACAGTCTAGTGCATGATAAACGTACGAAACAAGTCCACAATAATTTTGGACATTATAGCATATGAAGGTGTTTGTAGGCGATGTTCTGTGTTGCAATAAATTAATACCGGTGTTTACATGGAACCGTGTTCTCTCGGCCATTAAGGTTAAGACCTGTGGAGTAGATGGTCGTTGTCTTTCGCTTTACGCCCATGTCCAAACCTCACCTACACCACTGTACTGTAATAGTAATCTGTTGCAGTGTTGATATTTCATCTGTACAAAGCTTGAACTCTCTTTGGCGTCCAATCGCTGTACTTAGTTCCTAACTCCAGCTGGAAACTCGTTTTTAGGCGCATGGTGAGTGTTTGTTA